GATGGAGTTTTTGCTCTTGTTGCCCAGGCTGGAGTACAATGGCATGATCTTGGCTCACCACAACCTCTGCCTCCTGGGTTCAAGCAATTCTCCTGCCTCAGCCTCCCAAGTAGATGGGATTACGGACATGCACCACCACACCCAGCTAATTTTGTATTTTTAGTAAAGACGGGGTTTCTCTGTGTTGGTCAGGCTAGTCTCGAACTCCCAACCTCAGGTGATCTGCCCACCTTAGCCTCCCAAAGTTCTGGAAGTACAGATGTGAGCTACCTCACGTGGTCAATTCTCAATCTCTCTATTCACCAATCAAGTTATTCAAACCAATTAATTTGACCCCCAAAGTATCCTTTAGGGGCATCCCCGCTTCTCTATTCTCACTGCCTTAGTTTGTGCCCTCAGAACCACTCAGCTACTGAAAATACCCTCTCCCTCATTACCTTCGTGTGATTTCTCCATCCTTTTTTTTTTAAAAAAGAAAGAAAGAAAAAGAGAGAAAGAAAGAGGAAGAGAAAGAGGGAGAGAGAACGGAAGTCTTGCTCTATTGCCCAGGCTGGAATGCAGTCTAAAAATGGGTATTAAAAACCTCTTTTATGCCAATAATTGTACTTGACAATGGAGACAGGAAGGAATAAAGGAGGAAGATAACAAACAAGCAACCAACCAATATTTCACTTAAACCTGTGAAATGCTATGCTTTTGCTGAGGAGTGATTTACTTCCAACCATGCGGTCACTTAATAGAGTAGGTATGATGTGGTGCTGAGAAGAAATGTATATTCTGTGGCTTTGGGGTGGAGAGTTCTGTAAATGTCTATTAGGTTTGCTTGTTCCAGGTCTGAATTCAAGTCCTGGATATGCTTGTTAATTTTCTGTCTCGTTGATCTGTCTAATATTGACAATGGGGTGTTAAAGTCTCCCACTATTATTGTGTGGGAGTCTAAGTCTCTTTGTAAGTCATTGAGAACTTGCCTTATGTATCTGGGTGCTCCCGTATTGGGTGTGTATATATTTAGGATCGTTAGCTCTTCTTGTTGCATTGATCCTTTTACCATTATGTAATGTCCTTCTTTGTCTCTTATGATCTTTGTTGCTTTAAAGTCTAATT